ATTTTCAGCCTATATTATTATATATCCTGAAGGTACATAAATGTAAGACTTTAAAAGAAAGAACATAAATTAGCTAATTGCTTGAACTTGGGAGGTAGTGGTTGCAGTGAGCCGAGGGCATGCCACTGCACTCCAGACTAGGTGACAGAGCGAGACTCTGATTCAATAATAATAATAACAATACAGTCATTTAGCCGCCTTATCTGTGATATCTGGGTCATTCTAGTGTTTGTATTATAATTGTTCTAATGTTTGTAATCCAAGTTCTTAGAAAACACAGTTACAATATTCTCAATTTGAAAAATTATACCTGTGCTATCTTGATACAACAGTTATTCTGTAGTATAAGTCAAAGATAGACTGTTAACACTGATGCTTTCGATACCTTTGAATTGCACATTTAAGTTACATTAGTCAGAGTGAACACACAGATTGTGGTTGCCAACATCAGCAGTAATGGGAAGAAAAAGAAAAAAAAGCAGCAATAGCAACTACAGAAGATGGATAGTTGGTGCGTTAGTCATTTGACGCTAAAACAGTGTTGCTTTTAGTCCCTATTTTTTTCATCTTTTATATTTCATTTTATATTAATATTTTATATTTTATTCTTTTCCCTGCAACCTTCCATAGTAGTTGCCAACCAGAAATTTTTCTATCCCAGTGACAGATTCACTAGTGTGTAAGACTTTCAGTACTACAACTAGGATACGTTCTAGGCAAACCTGTATGATTGATATCCTAGGCCAACCACTCTAAGTCTAGATGGAAGTCCAGATGGCAGCACATGAGCCTGCAGTCAGAGAAAACCTTCTAACACAACTAGTTTCCTTTAGCCATTTGCCATGGGTTCTTCTTTCATCTCTTCCATTCTGGGGCTTACAGATCTACCCTGAAAGACCTGAGCTGATATGCTAGTTGGCTGTATGTTTTATCTCCATGTAGTCCCTTTGGAGGCCCTGTATCCAGTCAGGGAGGCCTTGGGCTTTCCATTTGTGTTACCATAATATGACCCAGAAAAAGTGTCAAATTATGGATTAGATTGCCTTAATTATAAGCCAAAAACATTGTTGACTTTTGTTACTATTTCATGAATATTTTCAAGGAACTTATAATCTGTTTTACAGCATTATGCATATAATCATATAAACGTAAGTACATAATTGAATATGTATGTGCTTGTATGTATGACTATCTGCTTTTTGCATATGCTGGAGTCTAAATTCACACATATTTTTGCCTAATTGTCTACTTAGTATATAAAATTATAAAGAGTATATTTTAATCTCACTTTATGATTTTTCTTTCCATAGTTTTTCATTTTATCCTAACCCCCAGAGATGACCATTAATAATACTATATACATACCTGATTTTCAGAGGTTATTAACCCTTTTAATCTTTGACAAGCCCATAGACCAGAAAAAATTATATTCTACTTACATTTCTTTAATGCTATGGGACTTCCCAGTTACTTGATGGCGATAGGAAATTTATAATTTTTCTGTGAATTACTATTTCATCACCTTTGTCTTTCTATTCTATGCGTTTATTTGACCTTTTATAACATACGCATGCAAACACACACACACACAAGTGTTGTACAATACTCATAAAATTTACCATCTGAATGCTTTTTAAGTGTTTAATTCCATGACATTAAGTCCATTGTTGTGCAACATCATCCCTCTGCAGAGCTCTTTCCAAGTTGCAAAGCCAAAACTGTAAATCAATTAAACAATAAGCTCTCATTCCTCCTCTTCCCAGGCCCTGCAAGCTGTTATTCTACTTTCTGTCTCTGAATTTGACAACTTCAGTAACTCACGTAAATGGAATGAATCATGCCATATTTGTCTTTTTTGAAAAAGCCTGGCTTTTTTCACTAAGCCTGATGTCCTTAAGGTTCATACATATTGTAGTGTGTGTCAGAATTTCATTTCTTTTAAAGGGTGAATAACATTTTGTTGTATATATATGCCACATTTTGTTTAGCCATTCATCTGTCAATGGATATTTGGGTTTCTTCCATGTTTGGGCTATTGTGTGTAATGTTTCTGTGACTATGGGCTTACAAATATCTCAAGACCCTGTTTTCAATTATTTTGTGTATACATCCAGAAGTGAACTTGCTGTATCATATAGTGATTATATTTCTAAGTATTCTGAGGAATCACCCACCATACTATTTTCCAGCAGCGACACTGTTTTACATTCCCACTAGCAGTGTACAAGTTATTTTCTGTTTCAATTTCTCCACATCCTTGTGAATACTTGTTATTTTCTGTTTTTTTTTTTTTTCCTGATAGTAGCCATCCTGATGGGTGTGAAGTGGTATCTTTTTGTGTCTTTCATCCCTGTATAGGTATAATAGGATCTTATAGATCAGAAATTTATCATTTTTAAAAAGGGTATAGTTTTGTTAAAAATTGGTTATTGGGAGATATTTTCTATGATTGTATTTCAGCATTACTTGTTACATGTAGAAAATCTACTGATATTTGTGCATAAGTTTAATCAATGGATTATCACTGTATTGAGAAGTCTATTTGTTTATTTTTTTGGGATTAATATTTTTGAAATGATGTAAACTGCAATTAATAGTAATTTTGCCACATCTTTTCAACAATAGTTCTGTGAATGGAGAGAGAGATAGAGAGAGAGAAAGAGAGAGAAACAGAAAGACAGAGGGAGGGAGGGAGCACGTACATTCTGGTCTCTCCTCCACTTTTTGTGAAGACAACAATCCCATCAGATTAGGACCCCACACTTATTACCTCATTTAATCCTAATTATTTCTCAAAGTCCTCATCTCCAAACATCATCACATTGGGAGTTGAGGCTTAAACATATGTATTTAGGGGGACACAATTCAGTCCATAAAATTCCACTCTGTGTTACTCAAATTCATGTTCTTCTTACATGCAAAAAAAATTCATCCCATCTCAAGAATCCCAAAAGCCTTAAGCCATTCCAGCATCAATTTTAAGTACAAAGTCTCATCTGAATAGCATCTAAATCAGGAATGGGTAACATTTGAGATATGATTTATCTTGAGACAAAATTTCTCCCCAACTGTGAATGTGTAAAAACCCAGACAAATTATGTGTTTCCAAAATACATTTTATTTTGTTTATTTATTTTTTTTGAGACAGAGTCTCACTCTGTCACCCAGGATGGAGTGCAGTGGCGCAATCTCGACTCACTGCAAGCTCTGCCTCCTGGGTTCATCCCATTCTCCTGCCTCAGCCTCCTGAGTAGCTGGGACTACAGGTGCCCACCACCACGCCTGGCTAATTTTTTGTATTTTCAGTAGAAACGAGGTTTCACCATGTTAGCCAGGATGGTCTTCATCTCCTGACCTCCTGATCTGCCTGCCTTGGCCTCCCAAAGTGCTGGGATTACAGGCAAGAGCCACCGCACTCGGCCCTGTTTCCAAAATATAATGGTGAAATAAACATAGGACAGACATTCCCATTCCAAAAGGGAGAAATTAGGGGTGATGAGTTTCAAGCAATTCCAAAACCTAGCAGTGCAAGTTCCATTGTATCTTAGGTGTGAGAGTTGGCCATACACTACACACCAGATACCTCAATTGCTTTATCTTTAATCTTCCATATGAACTGAGATGTAAATTAAAAGCCTATCCAAATCCTATTTGGCTTAATGTTCTTCCCTCCAGGTCCACTGAGGTGGTGCATTACTTCCACAGTCCTAGGTGGCAGCCCCACTCCCTTGGCTTGGGAGCCTCCCCTGTTCATACTATCTTTACAATGTCCCATCCATAAGGCACTAGGCTAGGGCTACCTGGTCCACTGAAATTAAAAAGGAGGCCCCACCCTCTATAACCAAAGAGAATGCAGCCTTGATCCTTTGGTCTGTGGCACCCTGATAATCTTTGAGTCAATGGTGCAATTATTCTTTACTTTTCTTGAAAGATAAAGCATGCTCATAGCCAAATAGCCCTTTTGTCCCATTCTTTTTTCCTTCATTTCCAACTGGCAATGTTTCTGCCAGTATAATTCCATCTATGCTGGTATTGTCTTAGATTTCTGATTTCTGCTGAGATGGCTGATTAAATACATTATTCACATTCATAATCTCTTTATCAAATGATTTTCTAGCCCCATCCTTCGTATTCTCTCCAGAACACGTTTTCTGATTTTGGGAAATATGGATAGGCTGAGAATTTCTGGTTAACAATTATTTTAATTACTTCTTTAATCCATCTCTCCTCTCTTTCATTTTACCATAAGCAGTCAGGAGGACTCAGGCCATGTCTTGAACATTTTGCCTAGGGGTCACCTCAGCTGTTATCCAACGTCAGCTTGCAAACTCTATCTTTCACAAAACTTTAGAACACAATTTAGCCAAGTCTTTGCCATTTTTTTTTTTAAACAGGAATGGCTTTTCCTTCATTGTCCAATAACATATTGCTTTACTTCTGTCTAAGACCTCACTAGAAGCACCTTTAATATTCGTATTTCTCCCAACATTCTGTTCTTGATTATGTACGTATTCTCTAAGAAGAGGTAGGCGTTCTCTTTTCTCTCAGTGCTCTCACCAGAATCACCTTTAATATCTATATTTCTATCAACAGTCCTTTATTGCAATCTAGGCTTTTTTTAGTTTGCACCTTAAAATGATTCCAACCTCTACCCATTTCCCAGTCCCAAAGTCACAGCTATAGTGTTAGGTATTTGTTAGAGCAGCACCTCATATCTTGGTACCAAAATCTGTATTAGTCAGGGTTTTCCAGAGAAACTGAATGAATAAGATATTAGTTCATCATATGGTGGAATGCTGAGAACTCAAAAATCATCAATAAAACACTAGTAACATCCCTCTTTATACTTTAGTTTAGTGTTTTTGTTTTTATTATATTCATTTTTTATATATGAAAGAAATGTTTAATGTTTGGACATGATGTTGGTAATGATATCTTCTCCTTTTCATTAGGATAATAAAATCTCTGATGTAATTTGAAATTGCTATTTTTCATTCCAGAGAAAAGTTACGTGGAGGAGGGAAGACATGCCCCTTTTCAAAAACAACGGTTTCAACTCATTTTCTACATTTCGCTACCTGTGCTTATTATTACTACTGCCATTTTAATAAAACGGAAAAAATTGAGAGAGCTATGCTATAGAGGGGAAACTGAAAGTGAGAGGTATGTATATACATATATATAATGTACACACAAATATATGTAAAATATATGTACATATATTTACTCTTATTACATTTAGAAAGACAAGAAAAATGTATTTGTGTTTCATCAGGAATAATCTCCAGCTGTAGGTAAGGCAATATAAAGAGAGGCTCAGGGAGACATTTACAAAATGGTTTGATGCCCTTTGTTATTTGTTTTGATATTGTTTCTCATCTCACAAATTACTAAAACCACACAGTTTACCACTAGTATCATGGTAAGAGCAGACATGGCTGCCAGGGGAATTTTGGAGGTTTGTTTAGCCTCTTAGTTCACCGACCCTGTCCATAGAGTCATATCACCTATGAGCTCCATTAGAATTACATGACACTGCATTTCAAGGGAACTTCCAAAAACTAAATTTATTAGATACAGATTCTCAGGCCAGTGATGAACATCTTTATTAGCACACCTATAGAGGTGTCTATAAACCTATTTTGACAATATTTGTTTTTCTAAATATAGATATTGCTGATTTGTAAAATCATTTCTTAAATAGAAACTACATGTGTAGTTAATAATGTCAGGTTAAAGAGACAGGAGGCACCACCATGTAGGAAGAGAATTACACTTAGCTTTGGGAAACCTTGTTTTAAGTTATAAATCTTGCATGTAACCCTGTAATACTGTGAGTAAGTGATTTAATCTTTATTTACTTAATATTATTCTCTATAACTCTACAGAATGGGGGATAATAATAGCTTTTCAATGTATCTAAACTTTTGAGTACATCAATTTAATGAGTGAAATCATCATGCTATCTGTAACCAGTTGCACAAAATTTTAAACTTCATATTGAGCCCCTTAGTCATAATTTACAATATTTCATCACAGATATATTTACATCTAGTTTTACCCTCCAAGAACTGATGCAAAGATAAAACATGTTTATATTTTCTGAGAGAGAGAAAGAAATATATTGAGCTGTATATAAAAAGTATTTAAAATTTGTGAGTGCTACTTTATGTTTTGGCTTATTGGAACTGAGAAATTAGGGATATCATAAAATAAGGGGACCTGCCTATATAAATGTGGGCTTACAAACATAAGTTATTGATTAAATGTAGAATGAGAATGAGAAGACTCAATTACCAGACTGAGGTAACTGATGGCGTTTGTTCTAATATTGAAACAGTACCTGTTTAAGTTGTTAAAAGGAGATATTCATTTATTTGAATCGCTGTTTCTTTGAAGAACAGTTTTCATTCTGGTATTTAATTATTCAAGAATTACTATTTTCCTCACTTTAAAACAAAGTTTATCAATTTTATAGCTCTGTGTCACAAGAAAGCAGCAGTGACAGCAAGTCATCCCTCAGTGAAAGGTGAGTATAGAACTATGTGTTGAATCATTTTGCATTGTAAGTTTTGATCATTGCTTATGAGCACTTAAAAATGGTTAGTTTGAAACCAAACTTTTTTTATATATTTGTTTAATTCTGTCTATAGGTTATTTTATAATAATAAATAATAAAACTTGGTTTTGTGATATCTCAGCCTCTCCTTCTTGACCTATAAAAGGAGAGATTTTTGTGCACTCACACTAGCAACTGCCATCTATTAGCATGTAAATCATGGGTTTGTTTTTTTCTTTAGCATTGGGTAGGAGCATTTGTCTTTTTGTGATATTTTACTGGCATATAAAAAGATAACTGATGCTCTAATTAGCAGTACCAACCTTGTTGGCATCAGGGACGGGTTTAGTGGAAGAAAATTTTCCCATAGGGCGGAGTGGAGGGGGATAGTTTCAGCTCACATCATCAATCATTAGTTAGATTCCCATAAGGAGTGTGCAACTTAGATCTTTCACATGCGCAGTTCACAATAGAGTTCATGCTGCTATGAGAATCTAATGCCACTGCTGACCTGACAGGAGGCGGAGTTGAGGCAGCTTTGGGTCTCAGATGAGCCCCAGGTGAGCCCCAGTACTATGCTGATCTGGGAGGCTGTAGGCTTCGGGTGTGACACAGCAGGGTACCAGCTGTGATGGCCACAGGAGTGCTCATATCTCCCCTTTCCCAGTTCCAGGCAGCCCACTGCACAGACAGATTCCTTCTTCCTGAGGAAAAGAGAGAAAAGAGAGCAAGGGACTTTGCATGTGAACATAGGAATTTCTCCCTATTTCCCTCCAAGTCCATCAGAGTTGTGTATTTAGGAGTCTGCAAGAGATACAGCATATCTGGGCTTAGAAATCCCTCTAGCACTGAAATGCCTGTAGAGGCAACAGACTTAAGTAACTTAATACTCAATCTTCTTTGAATTCTTGGAAAGTCCTTTGAAGAAGGGCAAGTAAAAACAAAGCCAGACTGTGAAGACTAGAATAAATACCTAGAGACAGTGAAAGACTGCAATACAATAGTAGTAGGGGCCTTTTAACACCACACTTTCAGCAGTGGTCAGATCATCCATACAGAAAATCATCAATGAAATATTGGAATTAAACAACACTAGATCAAATGGCCCTAATTGACATTTACAGAATATTTTATGTAACTGGTGCAGAATATATGTTAATTTCATCGGCACATAGATCATATGTAAGGCCACAAAACAAGATGGAATAATATCAAGTATCATTTTGAAAAACAGTGGAATGAAACTAGAAATCAATGAAAAGAGGAACTTTGGAAACTATACAAATACATGAAAATTAAACAATATGCTCTTGAAAGACCAGTGTGTCAATAAAGAAATTAAGAAGGAAATATTTTTTAAAATTGAAGGAAACAAAAATGGAAACATAACATACCAAAGTCTATGGAATGCAGCAAAACCAGTACTGAAAGGAAAGTTTATACCTATACATACTGATACCAAAAAAGTAGAAAGACTTCAGTTACGCAACCTCATGGTGCAATGCAAGAAAGAAAGCAAGGACAAACAAAACCACAAATTAGTAGAAGAAAATAAATAATAAAAACTAGAACAGAAATAAATGAAATTGAGAATTAGAAAGGTCCATGAAACAAGAAGTTTGTTTTTGAAAAGATAAACACTTCTTTTGCTACATTGACCAAGAGAAAGAATATAATGGATTGAATACTTAAATGAAAGATATGATTTATATGAGCACAAATCAGATAAAAAGACATTGCAATTGACACTTTAATAATTTAAAGACAGCATTCAAGTAGAGATATTGTGAGCAAATGTGTGTCAATAATTTGGAAAACCTAGAAGAAATGGACAAATTCCTAGACACATACAGTCATAATGAATAATGACATAGTAGCTGCAATAAAAAGTTTCCCATCCAAGAACAGTTCAGGCTAGATAGCTTTAATATTGTATTCTACCAAATATTTAAAGAAGAACTAGTACCAATTTTACTCAAACTATTCCAAAACATTGAGAAGGAGGGAATATTCCCAATATCATTCTACAAGGCCAACATTTCCCTCAAAAACCATACAAATACACAGCAATAACAACAAAAACCTACAGGCCAACATCATGATGAACATGCAAAAATCCTCAACACAATGCTAGCAAACTGAATTCAACAACACATTAAAAAGATTATTTATCACGATCAAGTAGGATTCATCATAGGGATGCAAGGATGGTTCAGCAATGCAAATCAATAAATGTGATCTATCACATAAATAGAATCAAGGACAAAATCCATGTGGTCATTTCAATAGAGGCTGAAAAAGCATTTGGTAACACTCAACATAACTTCATAATAAAAACTCTTAATGTAGTTTAGCAGGAACATATCTCAAAACAATAAAGGCCATGTATATCAAACTCATAGACAGCAGCATGCTAAATGGAGAAAAATTGAAAGCCTTTCCTTTATGATGTAGAACAACACAAGAATGCCCATTTTGCTTCTTTTATTTATCATAGTACTGGAAGTCCTAGTCAGAGCAATTAGACAAAAGAAAGATATCAAGGGTGTCCAAATTGGAAAGGCAGAAATCAAATTCTTATGTGCAGATGATATGATCTCATATTTAGAAAAATCTAAAGACTCCTCCAAGGGGAAAAAACTGTTAGAGGTGATAAATGTAATTGGTGACATCGGGGGATACAAAATCAAACAAAAATTAGTAGCATTTCTATATGCCAACAGTGAACAACCTATAAATAAAGAAAGCAATCCTATTTACAACAGCTATAAAAATACCTAGGAATAAATTTAATCATAAAAGCGAAAGATTGCTACAATGACAATTGTAAAACACTTAACTAACTGGCTGTGGTGGCTCATGCCTGTAATCCCAGCACTTTGGGGGGCCAAGGTGGGTGGACTGCCTGAGCTCAGAAGTTCGAAACCACCCTGGGCAACATGGAGAAACCTTGTCTCTACTAAAATACAAAAAAAAAAAAAAAAAAAAAAAAAAAAAAAAAGCCATACACTGTGATGCAAGCCTGTAATCCCAGCTACTCAGGAGGCCAAGGCAGGAGAATCACTTGAGTGTGGGAGGCAGAGGTTGCAGTGGGCCAAGATCATGCCACCACACTCCAGCTTGGGTGACAGAGTGAGACTCCATCTCAAAAATAAATAAAAATAAAAATAAAAGTAAAACACTTATCAAAGAAATTAAAGAGGACACAAAAATGTGGAAATATAACCCAAGCCCATGGATTGGAAGAATTAATACTGTTTAAATATCCATAAAACCCAAAGCAATCTGGAGATTCAATGCAATCCCTATCAAAATACCAATGACATTCTTCACAGAAATAGAACAATAATCCAAAAATTCGTATGGAACCACAAAAGATAGGCTCTTTAACAAATAGTGTTGGGAATACTTTATATCCTCATGCTAAAGATTGAAATTGGACCATTATCTTATACACAAAGGCCAACACAAAATAGATTGAAGACTTAAATGTAAAATATGAATTATAAAACGCTTAGAAGAAAACAGAAAAATCTTCATGACATTGGTCTTGGCAATGATTTCATGGATATGATATGAAAAGCACAGACAACAAATGAAAAAAAGACATATGGGGCAACATTAAACTCAAAAGCTTCTTCATAGCAAAGGAAATGCTGAAAATCCAATGGAATGGGAGAAAATATTTGCAAACCATTTATCAGTTAAGGGGTTAATTCCCAAAATATATTAAGAACTCTTTCAACTCAATAGCAAAAAACTAATAACCTGATTAAAAGTTAGTGTAAGACTTGAATAGACATTTTGCCAAATAACATATATAAGACTCTTACAACTCTATAGCAAAATATCTAATAATTTAAAAAATGAGCTAAAGACTTCAGTAGACATTTCTCCAAAGAAAACATACAAGTGGCAAATAAGCATATGAAAAGATGTCCAATTTCGTTAACTATCAAATGTATGCTAATCAAAACCACAATGAGATTCACCTCACACCTGTTAGGATGGATCTTAAAAAAAAAAAAAAAAACCAACAATAGTGAAATGTTGAGGAGGATGTGGAGAAATTAGAATCGTTGTGTATATTGTTGGTGGGAATGCAAAATGTTGAAACCATTATGGAAAATGACATGGAGGGTTATCAAAAATAAAAAATACAATTACCATATAATCCAGCAATTCTACTTCTTCAAATTTATGGAAAAGAGTTGAAATCAGGAAACCAAAGAGATATTAGCATTCCAATGTTCATTGAATCACTATTCACAACTCTTAAGTGTGGCTACAACCTAAATGTCTGTCGATGAATAAGTGGATAAAAATAAATGTGACATCTCTCTCCTCTTCTCTCTCTGTTTCTCTCTCTCTCTCTCTCTGTGTGTGTGTGTGTGTGTGTGTATCTAATGGAATATTATTCAGCCTTAAAAAGGAGATCCTGTAATATGTAAAACATGGATGAACCTTGAGGACAAATACTGAAATAATTCCACTTATTTGAGATATATAAAAAGTCAAACTCACAAAATTAGAGCAGAATGCTGGTTTCCGGGGACTACGGGGTGGACCAAATGGGTAGTTACATGTCAGTGGGCTAAAGTCTCAAATATGCATGATGAAAATGTTCTAGAGATTTCATGAAAAACATTGTCCCTAAAATTAACAAATCTGTATTGTACACTTAGAAATGTGGTAAGATGGTCGATCTCATGCTGTGTTCTTACTATATATAGCACAACTTTTTAAAAATAAAAACTTTTGCCATTCAAAAGATACCCTTAAGAAGGGAAAAAGGAACCGTGAATGTGGAAAAAATCTTTGTAATACATATTTCAAATGAAGGATTCACATTCAGAATATATACTGAACTCCTACAAATTGATAAAAAAAAGATGAGAATATAATGACCAAAATATTTGAAGAAACACTTCACAAAAGATGATATCAAAGGGGCACAGAATATGAAAATG